ACTTCTTATGGTATATAATGACGTATATTTTAATACGATACACAAAAGGAACAGTACAAACAAAGAACACTAAACAAATTATCTTAATACTAATTGTTGAACAAATATTATTGTATTTAAGCTGACACGTCTTTAGCGTTACGTCGTGATTCTAACGGTTCGTCTTTTTTCCCGCCTGCCCCGAATTCCTGCGCAGGACATCGGACTTGCCCAAATCACGACAACGTGGGGGACGGGCACCACATCTATACAAAAAACTTGTTGCAAAGAAAAAAACTCATAACATATCATTTCTTGTCGTCGGCCATGACACCCGGCCGAATGAGAGGAGTGCGTTCACATTTTGACAGGTTAGTAAAAGCCGCTCGGATAACGTGGTGTCAGTGGTCAGTTGTGAACTTTGTCAGTAATTTTATAGTTTTTACATATATGTCATTTTGTCCTTATGTAATGTGTCATTTTGTCCATAGTATATGGACAAAATGGATTTTGGATGATCTCAATTAAACTAACAATANGGTCAGTTGTGAACTTTGTCAGTAATTTTATAGTTTTTACATATATGTCATTTTGTCCTTATGTAATGTGTCATTTTGTCCATAGTATATGGACAAAATGGATTTTGGATGATCTCAATTAAACTAACAATATTTTTTTCTATTATTTTAATATTGTAGATGTTTAGTATATTTCATAAGTAAAGAACCAAAGATGATTGGTGTAGAATATGACAGTGCTGTGATTTACCAATAAAGAGTTATGAACCTAAAATAAAACTGTATGTCATTTTGTACCAGTGGCATGCCGTCATTAGAAGCGTTGGAAGCGCCGCTTCCCTCGTATTCTCTAAAAAATAAATAAATATTAATTTTAATTATATGAAAATAATCGCACAATATTTTATTATAACCGCATTATGTATCTTCTTATAATTTTCTATACTACACGTGGAAAAAACAAAAAAAATTGCTATTGTATATTAGAATATTAGTGAAGCAGTGTAATCTCCTGTATTTTCAGATTACGAAAAGCAAGATTTGCGCATGCGCTTTACAGAACACCAACCTCACCTGGTGTAGCCGGTGGAAGCCTACGACCTTGGGTGAAAGCTGCACACATATAAGATTACTACTCTGTCAAGGACCGGTTCTGGGCTATTAGCCGCCTACCCACTAGATATTTCGATTACGTGAATAATGAGTAGATTTATAACTTAACCCAACCGATAAGAATTTACTGGTATGTTTTTACGATAGTTCTGTATAGTTGACAGGAGTTTAAAAAATCCATTAAAATATTTGATATTTTTATTCTGCTCTCCGATTTTATATTACTCACGGATTTCGATGTTAAACCAGTGATATTACGATTTCGTACATCCCATCTTTAAGGGNTACAAACAAAGAACACTAAACAAATTATCTTAATACTAATTGTTGAACAAATATTATTGTATTTAAGCTGACACGTCTTTAGCGTTACGTCGTGATTCTAACGGTTCGTCTTTTTTCCCGCCTGCCCGAATTCCTGCGCAGGGCATCGGACTTGCCCAAATCACGACAACGTGGGGGACGGGAACCACATATATATTCTTTGAACTTGTTATTAATTTTTTGCAATAATTTATAATTTTATAGATATATTTTTAACATTCGGTAATTTGTAATATCATCAGTGTTACTTATTCCTGGCAAGATAAAGACTTCTGCTTAATATTTCCTTTCTTTTGTCAGTGTCTTTTACTGTGTGTGCTGTGTGTGAGTCTGATATTCTCTTTTAAAAGCAAAAACTTCAGAAAATATCTTTACCGTCATTTCGCCAAATCCCATTTGTGGTGTTTAAACAGGAAAAGTAAAAATTGACCCCTAAACACATCAGAAATTTGCAATTTGTTTTCTTCGTGCCTCTATGTTTAAAAACAATAAAAATAAATCAGTTTTTTACTTTGTATAATAACGTTTTAGGTTATTATACAATAGGTAAATGAAACAATAGGTAAATTTAGTGTATGACAAAATTTAAAATAATTTCTGATAGTTAAATATTCGAGAAAAAACGTTATTATACAAAGTAAAAAACTGATTTATTTTTATTGTTTTTAAACATAGAGGCACGAAGAAAACAAATTGCAAATTTCTGATGTGTTTAGGGGTCAATTTTTACTTTTCCTGTTTAAGCACCACAAATGGGATTTGGCGAAATGACGGTAAAGATATTTTGTATCTTTACCGCAAACATATTAAAGTAATATGTTTGCGATAAAAAACAAAATAGATCGATTATAGCGCCGTTTTCAAGCGAGATATCGCAATTTATTAATTATTTTAATAATTAACGCAAAAAATAAAATTTTAAATTAACGTTTTCAAGCTGTGGGGTCAAATTAATTAATTGGTAACAAAAAATCAGTTAGTGTTACAAAAGCTGACGATACCAGGAAAATGGCGATTATGGAAAGAAGAAGGTGTAATGAAGCCATTAAGGATTTTATTAAAGGTTAAGGGTTAAAACTAAAACTGCAACAAAAAACCCATACACATCTCCATTGTTTGGACGTTAATATAAAGTTTAAACAAAGCTATGTACAAACGGCAGTGGATTTGAAACCCACGCATGCTTCACTGTACATTCCACCATGGTCCAATTACCCGTTTAGATACAAAATGTCGGAGTTTAAGGCGCTCATTAAAAGGGCGTTCTTATATTGCCCCAATGTACAGTACAAGCTCGACTTAGGGAGATTAGCAGGATTAAAAAGATTGCGAAAAGTTTAGGATACAAAACATCTACAATTGATGGACTGGTCAAGGGTTACAGACAAGATGCAAATAAATTGCTAATAAAATGATAAGAAAGAAGTAAGAATGCGGGTGAAGGCTGGGGTTTATAAAATTCTTTTTGAAAATCAGCAGTTAGGAGTGGCAAATAATTATGTAATTGTCACAAGAAGAAACTTGGCAATAAGTAAAAGAGAGCACAAGTATGACGTTAATAGAGGACATAACAACGCCATTTTGGCAATCATGGCACAAACAGATGGAGCGAATGTAAAATGGGATGAGGCAAGAATAATTAAGAATAATTAAGACGGTCCCCTCTCCGGCGATAGCGTTGGGTATGGAGAAAATGAAGTTATATAAGAGTAAAGTAAATAACAATTGCTTAAATATCAAAGACGCTAATGCTCTCCCAACGGCCTGAAAATACGTGAGAAAAGAAAATAGGAATTAAAACCCTTGAAAATTGGGCGGTTGTATTTTAACTGGTTTAATGTATATTTAGTTTATTTTTTATATTTTGTTTGATTATATCGTATGTTAGTATTTTGTTGACTATTATACATATGTTTCTTTTTTACACGTTTTCAAATAAATTACTTATGCCTTTATTTTTCTATTTCGTCTAATATTTCCCTGCTGTTTGCTTTTTCAACTTAACCAAAATTTCAGATACTGATTATTTAAAATATTTAAATATTATAGGGGTACAATTAATAAAATAAGAATAAACATAATATCACAATACAATATTTTTATAAACATTAGTATTTTGGAATAAAATAGATGCAGACCAATGATGACGACAATCAATGGTCTGTGGATATTTCCTTTTGTATTTTCGTCTATAGAAGAAAAAGAAACACAAAATAATAAAAAATTATATTAGAATACCCCGTTTTCACTGGGTACTAATAAGAGAATTCTTACATGGATTTAAAAATACGTTCGATTTCCTGCAAAAACTTAGAAAACTGCGTTTAAAATAGTAGAGTAGAAGCGGAGTTCTTCACGTTAATTCTTCACTCTTCCCTTCTCCTCCGCGGGGAGAATTCCGAAAATGCCTTGTTAGGGTACGTCGAGAGAATAACCACTAATTGCCTACCCAACTTCAACGTTCAACTCCTAACTGTTTGGACTCTGCGCATATTATTATTTTTATTATCATCAACCCATCTCGATTATAATATGACACTCGTATTTATGAAATAATTTATTGTGATATATTTATTCTTATTTTATTTATTAAACTCCTTTTTACCAAGTCTATAAGTTAATTACACACGCCCTACGTAAATTCGTAACCATCCATCCACGTCGTCATTGTCATGGTGACGGTACCTATACGAGCTACTTCTGTTAACGAAAACTAAAAGTTTAATAAATAATTAAATTATAACACTTTTAAGTGTTAATGAAGTTCAGTATAAAATCTAAAATTTGTACATTTTTTTTTCTTTTTATTACACCTGACCAAAATCCGCTATTTAGGAATTATAGGATCGTTGCGAGTATGTTGCCTTTAACAAGACAATATAACAATTTTGTTTACGTTTTTTAGCTGTTATGTGTAGTAAAATAATTTCTATGTGAATTTTAATACAATAATTTAAAATAATTTTGTTAGCTAATTATTCGAAATTTTTTAAAGTAATTTAAGTATTTCATTTAACAGAATATGTCTTGATGAAAAGTGGAACACTTGATTGTTTAATGTAAATCTAGTTTTGCACGATATTCAGTAATTTATATCAACGGTCTTAATTATCTTCTGCACGATTTTATATTAGAATTATTCTCTCTTCTCGATCTTCCCTCTTTCCTACTGTTTTATTTATTCCATTATTTTCTTTGTTCACTTGTTATCCGTCATTCTTAAAATGTGTCCTGCCCGTCTTCGTTTTCTTCTGTTATTTTATTAATTACGCTAAAAATAATTAGCAATTTTTAAAAACATTATTTACGCTAAATAATCTATATATGTAAAAACGAATGCATGGCTGTCTGTGTGTCCTTCACTCATTACTACACTATTTATCCGATTGCCATGAAAGTTTGGGAAGCTGTTTAATACCTCCCGCAAAAGTTTCTGGCATAGTACATTTATCCTAAGATAGGTGGCGCGCGTGAATACGAACATTTCATATATAAAGTCGACACGAAGCGCGCATGCTCATAAGTTTGCTTTATTTGAACTCTTCGTCTTAATGTTCGATTTCATGTTTGAATTTACATTTATGAATGATTCTGGAAGATCCGGCTTATTTTTCGAATTTAGTAAATCTGATGAAGAACCCAGAAAGAGTTACAAAAACGTTTATTATTAGGAATTATTATGCTGCTGTCGTATCTGTTTCTGTGTAAGTAAAGATATTTGTTCGAATTTAATTCGAACAATGTTCGAATTTGTTCGAATTAAATTCGAACAAAAAATTCGAATATTGGTTCGATTATAAAACGATTGTAAACGTTCCAGAAACGTTGAAAATAGTTCGTTTGACTAAACGTAAAAATTCTCTAAACGGGGGACCTAATTCTTACGATCTGTGAAAACGGATAAGATTAGCTATAATGTAATTATCTTAATCTTCACTATCGTTACTTTTTGCCCAGCGAAGCGGGTCCTTGCAGACAGAGCTGATCACTCGTTGAAACACTCTCCGAGTGTGTGGAAATTTGCCCTTTTATCCTGAATTTCCCCCAATCGCCACCTGAGAAATTTATCAGGTGACGGAAAGATCAGATGTGTCAATCGGTCAGATGGTGTTAAAAAATTAAATTAAGCTGTAAAATAAAGGAAACTGAATTTCTATTTTATAAAAGTAAAAGTAGTGAGTCAGCCGTTTTTCAGGATGTTGTTTTCCTCCTTTATCTTTTATTATTTTATTTTAAAATTTAATAAAAAGTGATTAATAAAATACATGTATATTATTAACTTGTTGCAGATAAAGATTTAAACCAAATAGCCTTCCTGGGAAAGTCACCTCTCCTGTTTAGCTCCTCACAATTAATATTAAACAAAAGATAGAAGCCATTAGTTATTCATAATTTTCGCTTCAGTTGTTCGAAAAAACAATAGAATAACTCCTGTGAATTGCAAAAAACAATCAGTTCTGAAGTTAGCTAAAAGTTGATTTTTCGTAAATATTTATATTTTAAAGTTTTAACGTTCGTTTTGTTCAAAATTAACGTAATGTGGAAGATACGATTTAAGTTAAAATAAATTATGCTCATTTGTAACTTAATCTAAGTGTTTTTCGTAAATTCGTTTCTAGTTAGAGTTAATTTATTTTCCTGTGTTATATTTCCTATGTTAATTACTGCGTATACTAAATAATTTCAACTGTATCTGATTTCATATAATTTTAAATACACAATTAATCTAAATGAGAATTATTTTCATAATTTAAATAATTTTAAAAACATTTTAATGATGATTATATAAAATTTATGAAAAATCCTTTTTAACTACTTCCACGACTGCTGCATTTGTTATTCCCTTTTCTCCACTGTCAAATGTCAGCTGCTATTGCTTACGTGTTCATTGTAAATGCAGATTAAATGTGAATTAAAAATAGATATGATGATTATATAAAATTTATGAAAAATCCTTTTTAACTACTTCCACAACTGCTGCATTTGTTATTCTCTTTTCTCCACTGTCAAATGTCAGCTGCTATTGCTTACGTGTTCATTGTAAATGTAGATTAAATGTAAATTAAAAATAGATAATTTGATAAAATTATAGACTCGAAAATTATATTTCGCTTATTATAGTCAAATTTTTACCTCTTTTTTATAAAGGGTTCAAATTTTTATGCTTTTCCCATGAAAAATCCAGTTTAAATAACATGAAACAGAGAAAGATATAACGAATGTCATATTTTTTTGCCTTAGAATTTTCTTTAGTTCTTTCGTTAACGAAAGGTTCAGAATTTAAAAAATCGAATTTATACAAATTTAGGCTTTGTATCGTTTGTTTTAAATTTAACACATAAATACCGAGATGTACTGTACGTGGAAATATCCTTTAATTTGACAGTTACGTAACTATTACTGTTATTAGTTGTTTTCGTTGATGATATATATCACATATTAAATATTAAAAAACAATAGAAGCAAATAGGCTTCTCCTTAGAAAAAGGTATACATTATTACGTAATTATTGTATTTAAATTCATTATTTATTCTAATTGGAAAAAGTTAGTTACAATTGATTGTTTTTAGGAAAATATTCCTCAGTTTAAGCAGATTTCTATCGATATTTTTTATTCTTAAGTTTGAAATTTAACTAAAGATCAAGCGAGTTTGTCTGAATGTTGATGTATGCACGAGTGATCTTATTTGGAAATTTCTTACCTAGATTGATCCCATTTGTTGTAAGTAATCTATGGCTGTTTTGCAGATAAATTTTTTCTGTGTCTGTCCTTTCTTAGTTAATCTCGAGAACAGAGTTAGATGAAAACCTAAACCACACATGAAAGATTTTCGATATTTGCCCTTATTAACTGTTTAGGAACGTCCCATACAAAGCTGAAGTGAGTGTATTTAAATTCAAACATTTTCCTCTGTAAGGATGACGACATGACAATTCCTACGGTAAAAGTATGATATACAGAGGAAAACCACTAGTAATTTGTAGTGGAGCAAGTATTTTAAATAAAAAAGATTAAAAATATGATAAAAAATTGTGTGATGAATTTACGAAAAAATAATTTCTTGTTAGCATATAATTTTTTTCAAAACTTTTAAAAAACTGTTTTCTTGTTAGTATTTAAAAAATTTTCAAAAGAAAATACAAACTGTTTACTTGAGAAAACATTTTAAATCTAATCAAAATTTAAATACGAAATTCCTAATTTTATTTTTTAACTTTAAAAATATTTTGAAAAGAATGAGGGAAGAATTTACAACCGAAACAGGTGCGAATATCGCGCTGTACATTTATGTGACGTCAAATTTCTACTTGTACATGTTGAAATACATAAATTAGTGTCATAGAAGATAATTCGTCATTGCTAATTGAAGTCTCAATTTACGCATTCTCTTTTGCTTTTCAGTTGCAAGTAGAATCACGATGAAGTTTTTGCTGCCGTTTTTCATTTTAAGTACTTATTTATTTATTTCCTTATATTTAGATTTGTTCTTTTTAAATACGTTTTCATGACATTAATATTTATTGTTTATTAATTTATTTTTAAGGTTTAATTCCAAAACAACCCGGAAATTGTGTGTTGAAACCAATTGTAAATATTGCAAACGAAAATCTAGATTTTGACACTTTATTTCCTCAAGTGACTGAAGAGGTGAAAGTAGCACTTGTTGTAAGTAAAAACATTTAATTAATTTAAATAATTAATACTGTACGGCGTTTCAATTTGCACTAGTGTTATTATAGAAACTTGGTTTGTTCTTGCTATTTCTAGAGCTAGGACATCTATCTAGGAAATGCTATATAAATAGTTATAACACATGTCACTTTATGTTTCAAGACGACAAAGTCATATTTATTACAATAATCGAAAATATTTTTGTAAGAAAGGCAACTTCTGGATTCATAATTCTGGTGTTATTTTAGAATATTCATTATTAATTTTTGTGTACCAAGATTCTGATAAATATTTTTAGTAAACTTTTAAATATAATTTGCCTTGATGGAGGTGATTCATTATTAAATGTAACGTTACTCGTGCTTAATCATGGCGAAACAATCGAAACAATCATTATTTCGCATTAATTTTGAAAATGCATTCCTAATAAAAATTTACGATAATTATGATAACATAATTCGTTTCTAATTATAGCTTATGTATTTTAAACAGAATCAAATATTATTTTTATAAAGGCTTTGTGTTAACAGTTGATAAAAGATTATTAAGTAATTAACTCTAATATTTAATTAATATTCTTTCAACAGTCACTTGTATTGTTTGGTAAAATTTTATTGTGAGGTTTATTTAATGTTTACAGTTCTCTTTATTAACTAGAAATTATACGCAGAAATCTTAAAAAGTAGTCAGAAATTCTCTTAAATTTTATTCTTTCTTGATATTTTCAGAATATAACAGCTGGGTTACCGCAATGTCTGGATTCGAGTAAGTTCCCTTCTCTCGGCTGTGAAAATGAAATAGGCGGCGGAAGTAACGTGATGTCAAGTGTAACATATATATCGTGCCTGTTAAAGAAAGTTTGTTATAAAAATGATACGGCGAATTTAGTCAAAGTGGTAGAATGTCTTTCAATACTATCTTCAGGTAGAGTATTGTTTACCTTAGAAAATACTAAAAGAAATGTTACAGCAAAAATATACAGATGTCTTGCTGTTATTTACGCCGATAGCCGTACTGGACTTACAAACTGTGATTTGATCGATTCCATTCTAGCAATAAATATTCAATCTGTTTTAGAAAATATAGATACAAATATTATCAAGAAATTAAAAAGCGATTTCGAAACATTGTTTAAAATTCTTAGTGGAGATATAGAAGCAGTTTGTAAATTCACAACTTAATACATCATAAATTATTTTCCATGTAAATTTACGAAAAAGGAATAAAACATTAATCTAATTCTACTGTATACAAATATACATAGTGATTTTATTCTTTTTCAAACATTTATATAACACATTGGAAATTAATTTAATCGGCTAAAAATGTTATAACATCACGTTCAATACTGAAATATTAAGACGCGATGTGGCAATATATCATGTATATTGCCACATACCGTTCACAGTATAGAAGAAATAAAAGTCGTTAGTGCTGCTGTCGTTTCTGTTTCTGTGTAAATAAAGATATTTTGTTTTTACTATAAAGTAGGTTATTTTCTATTCTCTAATAAGAAACTATATTATTTTAAGAAGTCGTATAAATAGACAAGCCTACAATTTTATTAAATTGCAACCTAATAAATATAATTAAACAAAACAGAGAGGCCATTAGTTATTCATAATTTTCGCTTCAGTTGTTTAGAAAACAATAGAATAACACCTGCAATTGCAAAAAACAACCAGTTTTGAAGTAGCCAAAAGTTAGTTTTTCCTAAATATTTATAGCCTATTTTAAAGATTTAACATTCGTTTTCTTAAAAATTAACGTAAAGTGGTAGAACGATTTAACTTAAAATAGATTAAGTTACAAATTAGCATAATGTAAGTGTTTTTTGTGAATTCGTTTTTTAGTTAGACTTTATTAATTAATAATTATAAATAAATGACAATTAAGTAGAAGATTCTACTTATTATAAGTTGTTGTTTGCTATTTAACATTTTTCCTGTCAAACCTGCAACATCAACTTTTATCACAAAAATTTTAGTTATTCGCATTATTTTCAACTTAATTTATGTGTTATATGCAAGTAAACTGTTCATTTCTTTTAATATACAAGTAATCGTTTTGACAAAACTCTGATATAGTTTAGTTTTAATTTGTCTTTTTTAATTTTATTTGTTTATTTCGTGTAATTCTTTACTGTGCAGTTCTATTTCCTATTGCGAGATCCGACAGGGCAGAGCAATCCCGCTTATCGGCGACTCTGTCAGAGGATGGCTTTAAAAAGGCTAAAAATTTGAGTGGGAGGTCAATGAGTACTGTACGTCGACAGGTTTCGAATAAGTTCACAGGTTGATAAAAAATAACACGTTTAACAAACAACTATAAAAGTATACATATAGAATGCAAAAGCAAAAACGGAACAAATCGAAATAATCAGAAATTCTATTCTAGCTCACGACAATGATTCATCTTTTCAATGGAACATTTACGTTCTATTATTGAAGTTAAACTGAGAGACGAGAAAAACTTTTCTAAGACGTACGTTTCGGAGAGAGAGAGAATAAAAATGTCTTTAAAATATCTTTCACTCTGGTATACGACGTCGTCTGGACTATCGTGGACTTGGGAGTTGGTCATCTGGTTATTTTGGGATAGAGACGGCAGGTATGGCAAGTGGCGACAGACAGAGTGGCGGTAGAAGTCTGGTGTCCGCTGTAGATGTACTCGGATGCTATCAGCCGTGAACGTCCGCATGGAGGACTGTACTCACCCCAGAAAAGGAGAAATATTGGGGAACATTCTGATGCAAATCCATGTAACTTCGACTCGTCCGGAATTGTTTATGTTAATTGTCACACATTTGAATCTTTCTGTAGATATATTTCTTCTTCTATCCGGTATTATCACTTCTTCCCTCTCATAAATTTAACAACAATTGTCAAACTAACAGAATTAATTGCTAGGGGTGACTAAGGTCAGAATTATTCTTGCTTAGATTGTTGTCTTTTACGGTCATCTTGATCAGTTTTCTCGTAGTTCGCATCGAACGTAATAGAGGGGGAGTTTGTTCGGTTCGGTTTACCCTTATCGCTGCGCTTTATCGTTACCCTCTATCATGTAACAGGTTGAGGTTATTGTTAATCGTTTGGTTATTTGTAAATGATCTCCAAGGATGAGGGGATAACTTTATCTGTCTTCTTAAACATCTTATAACGTCTAGAACAAGAGTGTCCAACCTTTTATTTCTTTGGGCCACATAGAAAGATGTCATAAAGTTTTGGGCCACAAGTATATATAATACTAGCTGTTACCCGCGACTTCGTCAGCGGAGGTTTTGCAAGCAAACCCCATTTACATCCAATATTTCAATAACCATAGTAATTGTTATATAACACCTACCGCTGAAGAGAATTGCCGAAAATCAAACGAACTATTTTCAATTTGATCAATTTTCTGAAACGTTTACAATCGTTCTATAATCGAACCAATACGCAATAACAAATTCGAATTTAAAAC